ATATTCCTCTTTGAAAATATATTCCTTCTTTTTTAAAAAAAATGTTTATTTATTTTTGAGAAACAGAGAGATAGCATGTGCAGGGGAAGGGCAGAGAAAGGGGGAGACACAGAATCTGAAGCAGGCCCCAGGCTCTGAGCTGTCAGCACAGAGCCTGATGTGGGGCTTGAACCCACAAACCAGGAGATCATGGCCTGAGCTGAAGTCGGATGCTTAACTGACTGAGCCACCCAGGTGGCCTTCCTTCTTTCTTTAATACCAGATTGAAAAATCTACAGAAGCGTTTTCTATGTGGCAAAAACATGCCATTACTAATGCTTTAAACACTTAGCTATGGTCCAAGTAAGAAGATATACTTTTAACTATTATTGTAGTTAGATGCTAAATTTACCCTCACTAAATCTTGAAAACCAGAGACTGTGTTAATAGTGTGAAATTCATTTTCTGTGAATTATCTTTTGTTGGAGTCTAGTTCTGGACCTTCAAATTGCAACATGAAACATTCATGCCAGAGCCAACATCTACCTTCCAATTCTGAACAGCATGTTTCCAACTGAGAATTCCCACTTTTATAAGCAGCTGTGCTATTCCTTCATAACTGAGAGTTCTCATTTGCTGAAAATATAATAAAATATCCTCTGTGAAATGAAAATATCTATAAATGGAACAAAACAGCCCTGTTACTGTGCCCACAAACATCTGAGCTCAGACTTTTTCGGCACCAAATGGACAAGACCAAAACGAAGAGACACCCTGTGGCACAACACGGGATGGGCTCCTGAGACATGCACCGCTCTGTAGCACCAACCCCAACAGAGTTCAGTCCCACTTTCCTCCAGACCAAAGGCAAGTGTCCACAATTCTACAAATTTCCATAAAGGGAGGCAGAACTGGTATACACTAGCATAGGCCTCTGCTTTTCCCCAGCATCTGAACTAAACTAAGAAGTCTGGCTAATAGCGCAAGCAGGCCACTTAAAAATGTGGGTACCATTTATCAGCATATAAACACCCTTGACAGGTCTCAACCAAAGCACAGGTAATGATTTTGTGCATGCTACCCAACTGGGTAGGTGCTATCAGTGCGAGAAGCTTCTGTACTCAAGTTGGGATAAAAACACAATATATCTTGGGATGTCTGGCTAGCTGTTGGTAGAGCATACAACTCTTAATCTCAGAGTTGTGAGTTCAAGCCCCATATTGGGTTTAGAGCTTACTTAACAACAACAACATAGCTCATTTCTATATCATCCCATTTTATAGCTGCAAAAACCAAGGCCAGCTACAGTTAAGCAACTTCTCCAAAGTGTTACACACTCCTGTACCACCACCTCCCTTTGATATTAGAGTGCTTATCATTACTCCATGATATCCAGTCATATTCCATTAGAACTGCCTGGGTGTCTTTACTAAGATCCAACCTACCTGCAAAGCAGAAGCTGTCCTAGTCACACTCAGTAAATATTTGTTAAACAAATGAAGGAGCTTCTCACTATTCTACATGCTTCTTGACCCTCAGCACTAGTATTTCTTCTCATTAATTCAACAAATGTCTATTAAAAGTTAACCATCTCCTGTGTGGCAGGCACAATGCTACATACTAGGCATACACGATGAAAATAAACATCATGAGAGTCTCACAAACATACGCACATGAGATAGACAGGAATTTTTGGAAGAACTCCTCCCCATTTCTCCCCCACACTGGGGCATACACACACACACACACACACACACACACACACACACTCTCTCTCTCTCTCTCTCTCTCTCTCCTCTCAAAAAAAAAAAAGTTCCACAGGTAATCCTAAAATATAGCCAAGACGGATGACAACACCAACTCCAAAGCAAAGCAGCAGTGCACCTTGATCTGGCCTTGAAATGGTCCCTCATCTTGGCTGACTTCCTATCAATCAAATCTCAGCCTAAATATTACTCCTCAGAGTGGCTCTCCCTGACTCTACTCTAAAGGAGCCACACACACCTAGTATTTGCCGCATAACTCAGTGCTTATTCCTGACATTTGTCTTTTTAACCTGTTGTAGGTCTTCCAATAGAATGGAAGTTCCTTGAGACTAGGGATCTTGCTACATTTCCAGTAGGAACTCAGGTAAGTATTGTAAGAATGAACAAAAAAAGTAAGCCAGAGGACAGGTAAGCATGGGAGTATCTCTTATGGAAATGGAATTTTAAAACATAATATCCTGAAGCTGTAATTCTGACAAATTTCAGTTGGGTATGATTAAGCCAGACTGACTGAATGACCTAGAGAACAGTTTTTAATTCTTAACTAAAAACTAGATACAAGCCAGATGTCTATTTCCAAGCAGAGATCTACCTCAGAAGGAGAATGAAGAATACAGTATTTATTCTGGACTGGATTCAACAAAGGTGGGATTCAAAGTCTTCATGCAGAGGAAAGGGGGGGGGGGTGATGAAAATATGGTCACCATTTCCATAAATAACAAAACAACAAAAAACGAAATAGGTTAAAATATGGAGCAATTAAGATCTGAGCTCAGGCATAAAGGAATACTCGCTGAGGGAAATCCTGTGACACTAGAGTAGCCATTACAAATGAGAAGTCAAAGTGAAATTTCTGTAGGTTCCTAAGACTGGCATAAAAATACTTCTGTTTAGAAGGGTCATGCACAAGTACACAAAGGAAGATGACTATACAAGATGGCTAGAATTTTCTTCTGATTGTTATTATTGCACTACAATATCTACAGTAACTGAGTTTCCTACGCTGAGCTTATTTAGATCTGGACACAAAAATGAGCTAGAAGGAAAAGACACTAGTAAAAACAGTACCAAGTTAAGTATTTTTGGAAAGAGAAATATGTCTTTTCCTTCTTCATAGAATATATGCTTAGTGGTGCCTGGGTGGCTCAGTCAGTTAAACATCCAATTTCGACTCAGGTTATGATCTCAAGGTTCGTGGGTTAGAGCTCCGCGTCGGGCTCTGTGCTGATGGCTCAGAACCTGGAGCTGCTTCACATTCTGTATCTCCCCCTCTCTCTCTCTGTCCCTCCCCTGCTTGTGCTCTGTCTTTCCCTCTCATAAAATAGACATTACAAAAAAAATTTTTAAAGAATATATCAACTAAATTATATTTATTTACAAATTAAAAAAAATTTTAAAACAATGTATCAACTAAATTAATCATTGAGGCATAAAAGAAATACTTGAGTATTAAATTCACAAGTTACCTATGATGTACACTGAAATATGAGATGAAATGCCAGCAGGGTGCCTTGACCAGACTGCCTGGGCTGTCAGCATAAAACCAGCAAGGGAATGGGTATCACCCTCCTTTCAAAGCCAGTTCTACTTTTAGAAGCCACAGCTTCTAACAATGCAAGCATCCCTTCCCTGTACGTTCCATACTTAACCTCAACACTCTGGCACCACTTTTGTTCATTCCCACATATAGTTAATCACCAAGTTTTATAGAATATTCCTTTGTATAGGGGAAAAAAAAAAAGAAACAGAGGGAGGGGAAATTTACAGATTAAAAAGATTTAAGAGACCTATCAAGCAACTGAATGGGCTTTGTTTAGGTTCTAAGTCAAACTGCAAAAAATATGAGACAGTATCAGGAAATAGAACACCAACTAGATACAGAAAGGTACTTAGAAACATTGTTAATACTTTAGAGGTGTGATGATGAGACTGGGAGTATATTTTCAAAATGTTCTTGTCTTTTAGAAAGACACACCACACCATGAACAGATGAAATGATATTCTGGATTTGTTCCAAAATAATTCAAAAGATGATGGAGGTAGGAATGGGGATGAAAGAAGAGATGAAACAAGAGGCACTGATTGGCTGAAGCTGGATAATGGTACATAGGGGTTCAATTACACTTTTCAATTTGGTCCTTCAGCATCCTCTGGTTACCCTTTTTTAAATTTTTTTAATGGGCCTACCCCCCACACAAGCCCTTACTTACTTGCTCCTTCTCTTTGCTCTGTGCTTCCCATCAGGCCTACTCTACACCAGGCCACTTATTGAACCACTGGCCTGACCTGTTCTCATGTAAAATACTCCCAAACTTCATGTAGATTACAAATTTTAAGAGGAAGATTCATGTTTACATCTTTTTGCCTCTTCAGAGCTTAAAGCAGTGTTCTAAGTAGAGCAAAGGTGTTTGGTTACTGCTTTTAAGGTGGGCGGGATGTAGGCAGTTTGCTCCTTCACACTGTTCTGTGCTTCCCGGAGTTTTTATACACAGTGGGCTACTAATCTTTGGGAAACATCAAAGAGTTTCATTAAAGAGAATATAAAAGGTAAAACTATTTTAAAAGGGAAATTCTGAAATACAGTTAAATCTCGCAATAGTGCAATGAATTACAAACTCAGAGCAGTAATCGCCGTGGTTCTCCCTATAGAAAGCTTCATTTCTGAGGCAGCAAAGCATTATCCTTAATTAACCCATTTGTCTCCCATTCAAATTCTGTGCCCTGAGACAAAAATCGTATTAAAGACTCATTTTTCTACAGTGAAAACCTTATAAATATGTGCATTACTATTATTATTTTTAGCTGAAAACACCTCACTGCTTACATCGAGCTCCAATTTTTCTGGACTGTGACGGGGTCCAAAGGAAACAAAGCTAAAACAGCAGGGAGGGAAAAAATAAATGGAGGGTGGGGGAAGGGTTAGGATACACCCAGAAATGGTAGATTCCTAGTGGGCGTGCAGTGCTACCCCAAGTAGCAGGGCCCTGCTGAATGTTCCAGAAGAGCTGAGATTTTTATTATTTTGGTTATTTTCTACAGATTAACCTGTATTAGGCAAATATTAAGCACCTATGTGCCCAGCAGTGTTCTAAGTCTAAGCCATAAACAAGCTAGAGTCCGTGAAAAGTTCATGGAATAATTCATGACATACCTTAGAAATATACAACCAAGTTAACCTAAAATGAGGAGAAACCATGAAAGCACTCATTTTCATGAAATGTATCTATAGCAGACACACGTGAAAATCAGCCTTACCTTATATTTCATCTTGGGACATGAATGAATGTAGAAACCCATATAATAATAGCTGAGTTGAGATGTTTTCTGATGAAGCTGCCTCGTAAAAGCAATTTCTCTGCCAAAAGAAGAATAAAGAGGAAGGTACAGTTAAATCTAGTTCCTATACTCCAAGTACTATGTAATTTGATATCAAATATCTGATGAGATCTGAAATTCTGATACTAGGCTATTAAGAAACTCCAAGTGCTGAAAGAAAAACAATTTCAAAAATATTGTAAGATAACTTTTACTAAAGAAACATATAACAACACTAAATTAGTTGGAGCAAATGCATTTAAGTTCATGTTTTACACTTTACTGAGCATATTAATTGACCAAAAATTCAAACAGCATAAAAATAAATACATCTATTTAATACATTACTCATTATCCCTTGGAGTTCTCAAAAGACTGGGTTTATCAAGTTAAAAACAGTGTAACGAATTTTATAAAACTCAAAACTAACACATTTCCGGGAAAATGACACTGATTACAACCATTTACATGTACATCTTTGCAAGGGTGTCAGTTGTAGAACTCTCTCCTACATGTACATGCTACTCTCTAATATTTATTTTCCCTGAAACTAAAGAGTGGAAATAAACTATGCTAGCTCACCACTTCTGTTCTGCTGGCCTACGCAAGGATTAACTGAACAAAGAAGCTGTCAGCAGTGACCATGCTTGGAGTGGTTTTCATTTGCATCTGGGTAAATCTGGCCACAAAACTTCATCCTACTTGCCCAAGTGAATGACTGGCTGCACTTAAGAGTTTTAAGCAAAACTTCAGTACATTTCTGAACTAAGACAAAGTTGTTTGTTTTGTTTTTATGTTTGTTTCTTGAAGATTTTCTTTTCCTCCCTCCCCCTCTCTCTCCCTTCCTTCCTCTTTTGTAGCAATGAATGCTTGAAATTGAAGTGAATAGTCTGTGCATTTTGCAAGTTCAAATTCAAAGCACTGAAAGGTTGTGACCCTACAAATTCATCTACAAAATAAAAGTATTTCTAAATCCAAGCAGATGAAACAGTATTAGGCTACAACAGAATAAATCCTACCATTCCTAGAGCTATCCACTCCGAGGTTCAAAGTGAGGAAGAACGCACCGACGCGGCCACCGCAGGACCGCCGGTGCGGACAAGGACGGCCCAGCCACCACGGCATTCTGTCTGGTCCTGCGCTGCCCCTCCGCTCCCACAGCTGTTCAGGCCCAAACCTACAGCATCCTCAGCTGTTCTCTCACCCCCACGTCCGACCTCGACATCCAGCTGGCTCTGTCTCCAAAATGTACCGTTGAGTCTGACCGCTTCTCACGATGTCCACCTCAGCCGTGTGGTCCAAGCCAGCATTACAGCTCTGCTGGCTTGACTGCAAGAGTCTCCTGACTGGCTGACTTCCCTGGGTCCCCTTTCGCCCCCTATAAACCCCGCAGACTGGTTCAGGTCGTTTTTGTACAATATTCAGGTCAGGTAACCTCCCTGTATCTTACCCTCAGACTTTTGTACAGCTGTCACTTGACAGGTCTTTCCTGACCACCCTATTCAAAAATGACCTCACCCCAGCACTGTGACTATTTTTGTCACAGCATAACGGAGTACCTCAATTCATGTTGTTGCTATTCTAATTTATGGACTGCTTTGACAAAGCTGGAAACCCTGTCTTACTACTTCTATGACTCGTGCCCAGGACACATAGATTCTTCTCAAATAAATATGTTAAACAAATTAACTCATTTCTAAAATTCACCTTGCTAATAACAAAACATAAATTAATGCCACATTCGTGATCCCCAATCCAAACATGTTTTAAATCTACAGACCAGGTTATATAAAATCCATACTGATTATACATTAAAATACAAACACTATCACTGTAAATTGCCTTAAGAAATTGAAGGAATGGGAGGAAACTAAACGGGTTTCCCTGAAATACACTATAATCAATAATAGGATTGGCAATTTACAACCTACTCTCCCCAATTCTGCTTCGAAATGTCAATCTCCTGGCTGCCTTTCCTCTTCCATAAACTCAGCAACTCGCATTCCCCAGACCGCCACACACAAGCGACAAGGCTGTAATCCAGCGCCAACTTCCCCACTCTCCGGTGGCAGCAGTGCTCCTGCTCTCAGGCTCCCTCGCTTCCTCCTCAAAGTCTCCAGCTCTAGCACTTCTAGAGATCGACCAAACAGTAAACAGAACTCTTTACGAGGTTGCTGGGAACTGATTATTTACCATCTCGGATGCAGCAGGACTTCTGTATCTCCTAGTTTACTGGGGCATGAAATGATATTTCATACATAGGCTGGGATCACTATGTGGGAATAAATATTCATAATGTTTACCTGAGAAGTCTAAACAAATCCATAAGCTTCATGCTGTAAAGTGGTAGATACAAAAATAAAATAAGAAGGAAAATGGCAATGACTGTACAAAGCGTTGACTGATCTGGGTACAAGGAAAAAGTAGCTTTTCTGAAATAAATATACCCTTCTAAGGTTATAATATGTAAATGCTTTAAATTATCAATTTCAATTTCACTGATGCCATCAGGAGTCATAAATATTGTTAATTAGCCCATACAAAAATGCAATTAAATACATAAGAAAAATGAAGAAATATTACAGGGATCAGTTGTAAACACTGTATAATTGTGAATCTGCTATAACTTAGCATTAAGAGATGGATCAGGTTGAAAATACCAAGATGGAAATTTTTCTTTATATTATGGCCCACTGAAACACACAAAATCTATTATGGGCCAGATTTTTCATAAAAAACAAATAGTAATTAAAGAAAAATACCAACTCTTCCAATTATATAATTTAGAAAGAAGTACATACATAATTAATAAAAGAAATAATCTCAAAATGTATCTTCCCATGATGTGGGATTGTGACCATCAGATAAGAGACTGGGAAACGAGAAAATACTGACACAATGAGAAAGAGACTCAAGTTCCCACATAAGCAACAGAAAAATAATTTTCAATCCTCCTTCCCTTCTGTACCACACATACACACAGATAAAAAGGAATAAAAATAGAACAAGTATTTTCATGGAATAAGATCCCAATCTTTTTACCATTATGGTAATGCGAAATATCTGAGCTATGCTGCATGTATTTGGAGTCATGGACAGGCAAGGGAAATAATCTTTTGATGAGGGCCACAGAATTAAGTGGACAGTCAGGGACTTTCCAGTCCTGTTCTTTCTATAACTATATACTCTTTCCAACAGACTCACATTGTTTTAATTTAGATGAGGTTCATTTAACCTGTAATTATGAAAAAATATACATAATAATGATGACAAAAACATGTAAATACTATAATATTTAAGGGTCATTAAGTGGCTCTTGATAGGGAAGCTTAAATAAATACATAAACCAAAACAGCACCCCACGAATACAATGACTTCTTCCTTTTTTCTTTTTAACAAATAGTTTATTGTCAAATTAGTTTCCACATACAATGACTTCTCATACACTAGATGAGATGGATATCTTATAAAGCTAGGGAATTACCATCAGACACTGGCCTCAAATCTAAAAGTTGTTATTTCTAAATACTGATAAATGAGAGACTACTACAGCAACAAAACTGTTATGAACTATCAGACAGGATTTCTGCTGCTCTATGATGAAATATAATCAAATGAGGAATTATCTGAAGTTCCATGTGACTCATTAGAGCTGCCAAAAGTAATCTTACCGTAGTGCAGAGTAGACACCCAAAGACAGAAATGAATAGTCAGGATCGTAGTACAAATAGACAGACGACACACAGTACGGAAGGACATCAATCACGCCCACAGCAATGATTCTCCCGTCAAGCCAGTACTGCTGGTGAAAGGAGCCGTAACCACAATCTGGTCCGTTAGGGGGATTCTCTGCCTGTGAGAAAGCAGACATGCATGTGAACAGTTTCTCATCTTTTTCCTGTCTTTCATTTTTTTTAATTAAAAAATTTATAGTTTTTTAATTTATTTTTGAAACAGAGCATGAGTGGGGGAGGGGCAGAGAGAGGGAGACAGAATCTGAAATAGGCTCCAGGCTCTGAGCTGCCAGCACAGAACCCGATGAGGGGCTCGAACCTATGAACCGCGAGATCATGACCTTAGACGAAGTAGGAAACTTGACCTACTGAGCCACCCAGGTTCCCCTTTCCTGTATTTTAATATTTATTTATTTTGGGGAAAGTGCAAGCAAGGGAGGGGACAGAGGATCCAAAGTGGGCTCTGTGCTGACAGGCTGATAGCAGTGACCTCAACATAGGGCTGAAACTCACAAATCATGACCTGAGCCAAACTTGTAGACTCAACCAACTGAGCCACCTAGGTGCTCCTTTTTTTTTTTTTTTTTTTTTTTTTTAAAGATTTTATTTTTAACTAATCTCTACAATTAGGGCTCGAGCCCATAACCCAGGATCAAGAGTCACAAGCTCCACCGAATGAGCCAGCCAGGCGCCCCTGTCATCTTTTTCTTTATATTAAAATCTTAATAATTGTCCTATCATACTTTTATTTTACTTTGTAATTCCTAAAATTTCCTGCTGTCATCATCCTCTGCAGTCACACCCTGCAAAACTTTTTACTTGTAGAAACACTAACCAAACTTTAGAAAAAGAAATAAACTTAAGGGCTTTTTTTTTTTTTTTAAATATTTTTATTTCTAGGAGAGAGAGGGAGAGAGAGAGAGAGACAGCGTGAGCAGGGGAGGGTCAGAGAGAGAGGGAGATACAGACTCTGAAATAGGCTCCAGGCTCTGAGCTGGCAGTCAGCACACAGCCCGACGTGGGGCTTGAACCCATGAACCGCGAGATCATGACCTAAGTGAAAGTCGGATGCTTAACCGACTAAGCCACCCAGGCGTCCCAAGCGTGTTTTTTTCTTTACCTTGTTTAAAAATTTAACAGTAGGAAATATAAATTTTACAGGATAAGTAAATATTAAAGTATATTTTTCTGTTCCAACAAAAGCTGAGACAGAAATGATGCATGAGAGAAAGATGGAGAACATACAAGGACTGTCCCCATACTGAGGAGCAAGGTGGGAGAGAACAGGACTGTCCCCAGACTGCCAGCCAGGCCTCATCTGCGATGACCCCTGCACTGACAAGGCATATGATCCCATTATTTTTTTCTAGGTGACAGTTTCTGTGTAAATACAAAATGGCTGTGACACTTCCCTTTATTAGCCAAAGGAAAATAATTTCCTTACCATTATCCTAATGTAACTATAACCCCACAAAATAAATTTAGGGATTTCAGAGTATAACCTTTTATCTGTAAACGAGTGACATCTTTCACTTTGAAATTCAATTATTTTAAATGTTTATTTATTTTGAGAGAGCAAGCGAGCAAGGGAGGGACAGAGAAAGAGGGAGAGAGAGAGTGTCCCAAGCAGGCTCCATGCTATCAGCACTGAGCCCTATGTGGAGCTTGATCTCATGAACCATAAGATCACGACCGGAGCCAAAATCAAGAGTCAGACGCTTAACTGACTGACCCACTGAGGAGCCCCAAAATTCTATATGATTTTAAATATAACTGTTGCTAAATGAAAATTATGGTGCAACATAAAAAATGCTTTGGTAGAGACTAAATGGATGTTAGAGATTAACAATTTAAGTGAACAAATACGATAACATGTGTATATCATTTTCACAGAACTAAAACCACAGATAACATGTACGCATAAAAGCACCACAGATAACATGTACGCATAAAAGCAAGAAGGGGGTGGCTGGTGGCTCAGTGGGTTCAGCATCTGACTTTGGCTCAGGTCATGACCTCACTGTTTAAGAGTCTGAGCCCTGCATCTGGCTCTGTGCTGTCAGCATGGAGCCCACTTTGGATCCTGTCCCCTTCTCTCTGCCCTTCTCCTGCTTGTGTGCACACACTCTCTCATCTCTCTCAAAAATAAAAATAAACATTAAAAAAAAAGCTAGAAGAGAATGAAGAAAAATGAAAAAGTCAGTTTACTAATATTAAAACCAGAAAAAAAGGCATTACAAGATAGGAAATCTACAGATCAGTTACCTCTCATAACAGAGATGCAAAAATCCTCACCAAAATCTTAGCAAATAAAATCCAACAATGTATAAAGCGAATTACACACCATGACAAAGTGGGATTTATTCCAGGTATGGAAAGCTGGTTCAACATTTAAAAAGTAATTTGACAAAATCCAACATCAATTTATGACTAAAACTCAACAAACTAGGAAGAGAAAGGAACTTCATCAATGTGATAAACAGACAACAAATCTACAGCCAACACCATACTTAATGGTAAGAAATGGATGCTTTCCCCAGTAAGATTTCCCTATTCAACATCATACAGAAATCCTAGCTAGTGTAATAAAACAAGAAAAGGAAATAAAGGGTATTAAAATTGGGAAAGAAAAAAATAAAACTCTCTTTATTCACAAATGACATGATTTACAATATAGGAAATCTCAAAGAATCGATAACAAAAAATGGAAATAAGCCGTTATAGCAAGGTCACAGGATACAAAGCAAACAATAAAGTCATTTGCTTTACTACATACCAGCTATAACTGAAATAGGAAATTAACAACCCAATAAAGCCAAAAAAATTTACATGGCTAAATATAAATCAAACAAAATATGTATAGGGTATATATGCAGAAAACTCTGACAAAAGGAAACAAAGAGGTGGTAAATAAATGCAAAATATTTTATGTTAATAGACTGAGACTCAATATTGTTAAGATCTCCATTTCCCCAAGTTGGTTTGCAGATTTAATGCAATTCCAATCCAAATCTCAGCAAACTACTTTACAGATATCAACAAATTTGTTCTAATGTTTATATAAAAAGGCAGAAGACCTAGAATAGCTAACATAATACTGAAGAAACAAGTTGAATGTCTGACACTGCCTATATCCAGACTTACTCTGAAGCTACAATAATCAAGATAGGGTCATACTGGCCAAAGAAGAGAAGAGGAGAACAATGTAACAGAACCGAGAGCCCAGAAATAAGCCAACGTAAATATGGCGGACTGCCCTCTGACAAAGGAGCAAAGACAGTCCAACAGAGAATAGTCTAACATTTGCTGGAACAACCAGACATCCAAATGCAAGAAAGTCCCAATCTAGACAAAGACCTTAGACCTTTCAAAAAATAAATAAAAAGTTCAAAATGTATCACAGACCTAAATATAAAATGCAAAAACTATAAAACTTCTAGATGATAACACAGGAGAAAATCTGGGTGACCTTGGGTTTCACGATGAGTTTTTAGATGCAATGCCAGAAGCGCAAACCACGAAAGAAATAACTGATAAGCTGGACTTCATTAAATTTAAAAACTGCTCTCTTTACGAACACAGTTAGAAAAATAAAAAGTTAAACCACTGACTGGAGAAAATCACAACACATGTATGGGATAAAGGACTGGTATTCAAAAATAGAAAGACTTAAAATTCAACAGTAAGAAACCAAACAGCCCAATTAAAAACTGGGCAAAGTATCTGAGCAAACACCTCAGCAAAGAAGATGTACAGGTGGCAAATAAGCATATGAAAAGATGCTCATCATTTAATGAGGGAGCTGAAATTAAAAAAACAAAACAAAAAAATCCTTAACAGTGAGATAGTACTACTCAACTATTACAGTGACTGAAATCCAAAAACCTGAATATCAAAATGCTGGCAAGGATACTGAACAGCAGGAACTCTGATGACGATGGAATGTAAAATGATACAAATACTTCAGAGGACAGTTTGGGACTTTCTGATAAAGCAAAACATTGTGTGACCATATAAAACAGTAATCATGCTTCTAGGTACTTATCCAATTTGTCTGACAACTTAGGTCACACAAAAACCCAAAGGCCTGCATTTGTAAGTTTATTCATAAGTGCCCCAAACTGTAAGCAACCAATACATCCTTCAATAGGTGATAAATAAACCATGATCAAGGAATATTACTGATCACTCAAAATAAGTAAACTATCAAGCCACAAACACACAGAATGAAGCAACCTCACATGCATACTGCTAAGTGAAAGAAGCTAGTCTGAAAATACTCCAAACATACATTCCAAATACATTCAGTAAAAGACAAAAACTATAGAGACAGTGAAAAGATCAGCGGCTGCCAAGAATTTGGGGGATTTGGAGGCAGAGGACTTTTAGGATAAAACTATTCTCTATTGTTCTGTACTAGTGGATACATGACATTATACACTTAGCAAAACTCAGAACTTTACAACACAAAGTTGAGCCTTAATGGATGCAAACTAAAAGACAATCATTTAGGAAATTAAGAGACCCCAGGAAGGGCGGAGATAGGACAAGAGACAGGACAAGAGACTCTAACTGCATTACAAGGGTGACAAACAACCTCCCTGGAAGACGTTGGGAGAGGAAAGGTGCTGACCTCTGTAACCTTTGAAGTCTTTAAGAAGGAAGGCAAAAGGAAATCTGTACACCAGCACTCTATTCTACCTGATAAAGTTGTTTTCCATGAGACTATAGGTTGACAGTTCTGGCACTGATACACATGTCTACTGTAGATTCATGGAGGTGATAGGAACCAAGTTTCTCAGTGCTAGAGTGGTAATTTACAGATAAGCAAGGGGAAGAGGCTAGAATGATCCAAAGGGTAATGGATTAGAACTGGCGACAGGAGTAACAACTCATGTTTAGCTTCATACAGACAAGACTGTTACATACAAAAATAGTTATAGATCTATATATGTCATAGATATGTTCATACAAGGGTTAGTATGCACACATGCATTTCTTTACTCTGCCAGATGAGAAGGCCTACAGAAAGGACACCCAGGCACATCTAGCACCCAGATCTTGGTTTCTCCATTCTGTAAGAAAAAGGAACAAGGCTCTTTGGAAAAATGGCCAATTC